ACAGCCACTGGCGACAAGTACGCGGTTATTACAGCTGATAATGATGATGTAGTCTGGTTATCGGTTGTACATGACGAAAGTATTTGTTACAACGGGTTACACGGAACCTGAATAAGAAAAACTAGAACTCCGGTGTACATGTACCATGGATGGAGATGTAGGGCGGAAAAGCGGGAATGGGTGTTAACAGGAACGCCATCCCTCTACCGAGAACACTCGAACGATGAGTGTGGTCACCAGGTCGGAGATTTGGGTTCCGAAAACAGCAACGAAGGAGTGAAAGGTGACCAGTTGGTGACCCGAGTTGACGTTTCAATTCGAAACCCGGGTGTTGCACTCAGGAATTAAAAGAGGCTCGAGACTGGAGTGGCTAGATGAGCGACAAGCCCCTAACCGAAATTAGATTTGACCTGGTGACCTGCGTGATGATATTTTCATGGGCGGATTGTCAGCCATCCACCGTCTGTAAATTACTGTCCTGTTAGCCACCAGTCAAATATTATTTGTGTTGAATAAAAGGAGGGCTGACTGCTTCGTATCGTGGCGACCATAGTTCTGCAGCGGTACTAGAGCGGGAGAGATTGTCCACTGTTATCATGACAAAAGAAATCAACTAAGGTTATGCAAATCGGAAACGAATGTGACCTTTGACGGTCTTGAAGCTAACGAACGTCGCAACTCGCTGTGAAGGCCCTCAACAGCGATAAATGTAGCAGTCATTTCTAGTCCAAGCGATCTAACTTGTAAGGCGAAAAACGCACTCTGGAATCTCACGCATATCGAAAATACGCAGAGGACTTTGGCCTTTAAAAACAACTTTTGCGGCTTGAGGCTGTCCCAGATACTAAGCTTTTCGTACACCGAAAAGGACAGTTTGGTGCTTCTACATGATCGAACTACTACAGCGCATAATTGTACTCGAACTAATGACAGAAAATTTTGTGAACCGCCTTGTTTAAGTTGGACCCGCATTGCTGGCGTGGATCTTTGGAGTTTTTTGTCACACGAGTTTGATGATTGATAAGTCAAGTCAGGAGCTTGAAGTCGGAAACGTAAAATTCCTATAATTTGGCTGGAAAGAATTAACTTACTAGAACCTACTTTACTGGGAAGTGTGATTTAATTTGGTAATTTAAGATAGTTTTAGAAGAATGCCGGGTGATTTTTCGCTATTCGGGCTTCCAGATGGAGAACTCCCCTATAATTATGGTCCCGAAGGGTCGATACAACATGCAGTCGCTGACTCACAGAGCAGGAGCTTCATGAATGCTCAAGGACAGTTGGAAGGCTGCTCAGCCGGTAGAACCACTGGATCTGTAGGCGAACGACTTCTGTGTTGGCATCGTCAGTCAAGACTTTATGATTGAACATCTTTCGGTAAATTCTGCCAGGAGGGCGTTCACAACATACGAAGTCCTCGATGTTGCTGCAACGTATAAAAATTTCACATTTCATTGAGTAGGTAAAGTTACGAGTCATCTAGAAGAAGGCTACATTCGAATTGTCGTTATTCAGAGGGGCACGACTGTAGTAAGTTCAGTCCCGCGAATGCGACCCATAAGACAGGCTGTCCACAGAAACCTGAATTGAACACAGGTGGCAAACTCGAATTCATTTGAATTGCGTTTTGGGATCCCTACTCAGATATTTTAACACATTGGAGACAGTTTGGAAAAAGTTCTTAATGGAACAAGACGACTGAAGCAAGCGGACTTATTGATTCGTTTTCTGAATGCGACCAAGTGTAATTTGTGAGGTTACAGAAGGATGAATTTGATGCGATTTTGCAATAGGGTCATAAGTAGCCGATGAATCCAAACGATG